GCTTCCGGTGGGAAGGATTGACCTACCCATCGGCTAGGAGAGAAGGGGGAAGGGCGGCACATGGTCGTCAAATTTTTGGTGGTCGAGGAATTGACTACCTATAATCTCATATTCGGTCGTCCTACCCTCAACGAGTCCAAGTCAGTTATCATCCCATCCCTCATGATGATTAAGTTTGAGAGGGATGACGGGTCAGTCGGTGCTCTGCGCGGGGACCAGAAGACGGCTAGGGAGTGCTACCTCTCAAATGTCAAGCCGACTGTTATAGTAGCCAGCAATACTGAGGAGCCTATCGACCTTGTCAACGAGGAATCACGCTTGCTCCCAAAGCAGTAGGCAAAAAGAGAAAGGCGGACCTATTGGCCCCCGCCAGAAAATAAAAATAGCAATCACTGACCTGGGAAAAGCCGGATGACTCCCGGCTCCAGCCGGCTGGTGAGAGCGTTGATGTCTCCCTGGAAGACAACCGCCCCGAGAGAACCGTCAAAGTTGGGACGGTATCTTTTGAAAAATTGGGAGTAGACTTGCTCCAACTTCTAAGAGAGTTTAAAGGTATATTCGCCTTTGAAGTGGAGGAGATGTCAGGCATCAACCCGGATCTAGCCGTCCACAAGCTCGCCGTTGACCCCAAAAAGAAGCCGTTAGGCAAAAGAAGAGGGATCATGGCGAGGAGAGGTCTCAAGCGGCAGCCGCCGAGGTGAAGAAGCTCCTGGATGCCGAGTTCATTCGACAATGTCACTACCCGGATTGGGTAGCAAATGTTATTCTTGTCAAGAAGTCGAATGGTACCTGGCAGATGTGTGTAGATTACACAGATCTAAACAAGGCATGTCTGAATGATAGCTATCCACTTCCTAAGATCAACTGCCTAGTCGACTCTACAGCCGGTCATGCCTTGATGAACTTCATGGACGCCTACTCAGGCTTCCATTAGATCCCCCTATGGAAGAAGGATCAGGAGAAGACGGCCTTCGTCACTGATCAGGGGTTGTACTGCTACACGGTGATGCCGTTTGGATTGAAGAATGCTCCTGCTACCTTCCAACGAATGATTAACACGGTTTTCATCAATCAAATCGGAAGGAACGTAGAGGCATATATTGATGACATGATAGTCAAATCCAAGCTACAGGCGGATCACCTAGCCGACCTCCGAGAAACCTTCACCACCCTCAGGCGGCATAAGGTCATGCTTAATCCCAAGAAGTGTGTTTTTGGTGTTGAGTCTGGGAAGTTTCTCGGATTTCTGATTGATCAAAGAGGCATAGAGGCTAATCCGGAGAAGGTACAGGCGGTGATTGACATGAAGTCACCACGCACCGTCAAGGAGGCTCAGAAGCTAACCGGATGCCTGGCGGCATTAGGAATATTCCTCAGCTGGTTAGGTGACAAGTGCCTTTACTTCTTCTAAGCAATCAGGAAGAGGTCTAGATTTGAATGGGGAGAAGAAGCTGAGGCGGCATTTCAAAGGTTAAAGCAACACTTGCACTCTTTGCCAAGGCTAGTGAGTCCCCTGCCTAAGGAGGTTCTCTACATGTACCTAGTCGTCTCAGATCACTCCCTTAGTGCTGTTCTCCTTGCTGAGAGAGACGGAAAACAGCTCCCGGTGTATTTCATCAGCCATATACTTAGAAATGTTGAGCTCCGTTACCCAATGATCGAAAAATTTAGGCTAGCTCTTTACAAAGCAGTCAAGCGATTGAAACCCTACTTCTTGGCTCATCCGGTGATTGTCTATACTGATCAGCCACTCAAGCGTCCAATGACTACTATAGAGCCATCCGACAGAATGATCAAGTGGGCTGTTGAAATGCAAAGCCTGGAGATAACTTTTGAACCTAGGCGGGCAGTGAAAGGTCAGGCGTTTACCGACTTCATTTTTGAACCGAAGAATACCGATCAGGTTTGGAAGTTGTTCGTAGACGGAAGTTCTACCTTGAACGACTGTGGTGCAGGTGTAATTTGCAAATCTCCGGAAGGGGATACATATGAATATGCACTGCGGTTCAAGTTTCAAGATTCAAACAATGAAGCTGAGTATAAGGCCCTGTTAGCCGGTATACGCATGTGTAAGGCGGCAGGGGCAAGAAAGGTTGACGCCTGTTCTGATTCTCAATTGATCGTTAGCCAATTCAATAGTGACTACAAGGCCACCCATCCGGCAATGATCAAATACCTTCAGGTGGTCAAAGATGAGGCAGGTACACTTAACAAATTTCATCTAAATCAGGTGCCCCAGTCAGAAAACAATCAGGCGGATGCTTTGTCCAAACTGGCCTCATCCGCCACTTGTGATACGCCTAGGTCAGTCTTCTGGGAGGTCATGGAGAAAAGAAGTATTGAGCATGATCCCATTGGAGTTCTTGACCGAAGCTCTACCTGTATGTATGGACCCCATCTGGGAATATTTGGTAGACGACACTTTGCCGGATGCCCTTTTAAAAGCGGCGGCACTGAAAAAGCGAGCTCTGAGCTTCGAAATGTACAAGGGGGAACTCTTCAGAAAGGGTTACCTCAAGCCGTTGCTGAAGTGTGTTACCCCAAAAAGGGGAAGAGAGGTTCTAGAGGACTTGCATGCGAGCTTTTGTGCATCACATAAATTAACGGCAGGACTCTAGCAAAGAGGGCCAGGCGGCAAGGCTAATTTTGGCCCACCCTTGAGGCAGACGCCATGGAATTGGTGAAGAAATGTGACAAGTGCCAGAGGTTAGGCCAGGTTATACACCGTCCAGCAACAGATCTGACGGTTATCCACAACCCGGTTCCATTTACAAAATGGGGCATGGACATCTTAGGTCCCTATACGCCTGCCACAGGTGGCAGAAGATATATTCTGGTGGCTGTGGACTACTTCACCAAATGGGTTGAGGCAGAGGCGGTCAAAGGCATCAAGACAAAGGATGTCATCTCCTTCATTTGGAGGAACATCATCACCCGGTTTAGGGTTCCTATGTTTATGGTCTTTGATAACGGTACTCAGTTTGAAACGCCTACCCTCAAAAGTTGGTTGGAAGATCAGGGGATCTCACATTGTTTTGCATCCGTTGGCCGGCCCCAAGCAAACGGTCAAGTTGAAGCCTTCAACAAGCTCATCTCAGACGGCATAAAAAAGAAGATTGAAAGAGCTGGCGGTCTATGGGTAGATGAGTTACCTCACGTCCTTTGGGCCATCAGAAAACAACTGAAAAGGGGGCAACCGGTGAAACCTCGTTTCTCATGACATACGGCACCGAAGCCGTCTTGCCAATTGAACTTTATGAGCCAACACTCCGAGTCATGCTCTATGATGAAGAGGCTAATTGGGAGGCCATGCGCCTTACATTAGATTCACTCCCGGAGCGCAGGGGCAATGCCGCCTTGCGTCATGAGATTATACCGTATGAGAATGACAAGGGCTTACAAAAAAAGAGTACACAAGCGGCCCCTCAAAGTGGGGGACTTTGTGCTACGAAAAATGGAAGCAACCGGTAGGGCGAATGAACAAGGAAAGCTAACACCTAATTGGGAAGGCCGCTACCGGATTTTTGAAGAAGTTAGAGGCAGCACCTACCGCCTGGAAACACTAGACGGTAGGCAGCTAGCCAAAACCTGGAATGTAGATAACTTGAAGAAGTACTACTTCTAAGGAGATTGTAAATATTTTTGTAAATAGAGTATATGAATGAAAAGAATACTTTATTTCAGTTCTGTTTTTGTATAAAGTCCCATGTGCAATGCACAACTGGGCACCTTCCAAGTCCCAGCAGTGCAATGCACGACCGGGCACTCGTTTGCTCCAAATGAGTAAACGGCTAAGTACCCAACTTAGCTATTCAAAAGGCCCAAGGCCAACACATTTTAAACCGCCTGCTCTAACCAGGATCAGGCATCCGGCGACGCCCATTCGAGTGAATTCGTCGAAGAGAACATCTCCCTTTTCGGGTGGTACATTGTTCTACGCGTCACAAACTCAAACTGCTTTAACCGGTTAGGTTAAAGATAACTAATGGCCGTTCGAATGACCTTTCGCAATCAAGATACACCCGGTTATTGCCCCAAGGCAATACAGACAGTGAATTATACCTTGTTAAGCAGCCGGCTTTTGCCCAAAAGCACTACAGTTGGCCCCCACTTCCATGCTGAAGTACAACCCTGTTGAATTTAAAATTCACCGGCTATTGCCCCAAGGCAATACAACCGGTGAATTGCATCATAGATAGCAACCGGCTATTGCCCCAGGGCAATGCAGATGGTTCAATCCACCTTGATCAGCAGCCGGCTTTTGCCAAAAAGCACCCCAGCCAACTCACGCTCCCATATATAAGGTCAAACCTTGTTGACCTTAGCATCCACCTGGTTATTGCCCAAAGGCAGTACAGGCGGTATTCTATATTTTTGTACGCAACCGGCTTTTGCGAAGGAGCATTACAGTCGGATACGATTTGAAACGCATACGTCCGGCTCAAGGCCGCCTACATGTCACCATAGGCATTGACAGGTACCCAAGTGGTAGTCAACAGCCGGGCGAGTGGGTACCCTAAGTTTAATTCAGCCGGCACAGCCGGCAGATTCAACTTGGATCAATCTTGTTGTATAATCGTCAGAGCCATCCGGATGATTATGGACGGTTGCCTGGTTAGAGTTTGTAACTATAAGCAAACAACCATCCAGGGGCAGTCAGAGCCAATGGCATCCGGTATATATATAAATTTTGGTATATAGCAAATGTGATTCACAGCAAAATTGCAAGAATTGAAACAAAAATGAAGTGAAATGAACAAAAGAAACCGACATAGTCGGCATATATATATATATATATATATATATATATATATATATATATGTATATATATATATATATACATATATATATATATACATATATATATATACATATATATATATATATATATATATTAAAAATTAAAATGTTAACCGGAACCCTGTCCGGTGAAATGTGATACATAAATACATGGATCGCAGGTCGGATGAGAAGTAGGAGTTTGAAAAAAGTAGTTTGGCTACTGCTGCTGTTGCTGCTGTTGTTGCTGTTGCTCCGGCTGCTGGCCCTGACCGGCATTAGGGGCATCCTGGGTCTGCTGGGGTTGGGTTTCCTTTTCCCCACCCGGCACTTCTTCCTCTGCCTGCTCATCCCCTATGTCGGCCCACTTCTCGAAGGGCGCCGGCTGCTTAAGCCCGAGTACTTGGGCATCAAATACCTCTGTTCCGTATTTGTACCTCAAGTCGAAGAAGGCATAGTCGGTGTCCGGGTGGATCATGGACCATGCCATCTTCATGCGTGCTTCGCAGTCACGCTCATTCTCGGTGACCAGCCGGGTCTGCTCAGCCGACAGATGGTCTAGAGCTTCCTTCATGGACTTAACCAGCTCATTCTTAGTCTTGTCCAGCTCCTCCCTCAGCCGGGTGACTTCATCCTTCAACCGAGCTCTCTCCTTCTCAGCATCCTTCAGAGCCTGGATGTCGGCTTTGAGTTGGTCAATCTAGAGCTGTCGGTCAGCAGCAGTCTGATTGGCTGTATCGGCAGCAGCCGTCAGCTTCCGGATGAGTTCCTCCTGTTTCATCTTCTGGGCTTTAGTTTGGATTTCAAGCATTAGGAAGTTGTATTGATAGACATCAATTAATTCGGCTGCCCGTTTCTAGGCATCCCTTACCTCCTCTTGCCTCTTCCGCAAGTGGGTTTTCAACCCATCCACCCTTAGCAGCGCCTGTAGAGTCAGCCGGAAAAGGAGTTAGTAAAAGTCATAACTAAATAGCAACTGTCAACTAGCAATCCTGCATAAAAATACCTCATCCGGTAAGTAAGAAAATTGCACAAGAATACCCCATCCGGTAACTTACCTCAGCCAGTAGTGAGGTGATCCGGTCAAGGTTGACCTGGTTGATACCCGGCACAACCTCCCTCTTGGACCGGGTGAGGGTCAGCATTCTCTTGGCGTAGTTTTGCATATCTGGCCAACGAGAAGCAGTATCTGCATCATGAGATATATTTGTTAAGTGTTAGGCATAAGCGGCTCCTATATTCAGCCGGTCGCCGGAAGAATCTCCTGATTGAGAAGCATAAGACTTAACTCGAACTGCCCCAAGCGGCTAGGGGGGGTCAAAAGGGAAGTCCATACCTTGGTTATCAAGCTGAGGGGTGCCACCACCCCCAGCCGCATTAGAGCCGGATGCAATAGCAAGCAACTGGCTAGAAGGAGCCTCAGGCTCCCTAGATCCTACCCCAGCCGGACCTGAGCTTAAGCCCAGGCTCTGAAGACTCTTGCCTGCTGTTGTGGGTCTACCTGGAGCCGGAACTCCACCGGCTGAGGTTGGCGCAGAGCCGCCTGAGACCCTTAGCCTATGAGAAGCAGGCTGAGAGAGTTCCTCTCCCGGTCTTCTCACTATCTGACGCAAGGAGCGAAGAATGTTCTGGCTCCCCGTCTGAAAAAGACAGTAAAACAACAAGTTAGTATCAAGGTTATTTGCAAGATATACAGACGACATAAGATCAACCGGTGCTTACCCCGCTCGTTCGGGCCGCAAGTTGGGCTCGTTTTTGTTCAAGCTGCTCCTTCCTTATCTCGGCAGTTGACTTAGCTGGAGTCTCTTCCGGAGGAGTCATTTCTAGTCCTTTCTATGAAATATCACAAAAGAAAACCTGTAAGAGAATTCAAGCATCATACAGGCGGCATGATACGCCGGTTAAAGCAGTAAACCTACGTTTATCCTAAAAAGTGCTGAGACCGCAGGCGGAGAGGAACGCCTCGTCTTTGAACCAATCCGGATGAGGGACCCATAATTTGGGGACAATGATTTATGTCCCATCATCCAGTGGCTGAGTAGTTTTATTAAATAGTCCCGACTCCATAATGGCATCCCAAGCCTCAGCCGGCACCCTTGGAAGGGCACACTTCTTTCCCAATAGAGCCGGTTTCTTATTGTAACGGCGCATCCGGTGATTAGCAGCCGTAGATGGGGAAGAGACGAAATAAAACTTGCTCTTCCAGCTAGTCCACTTGGAGGGCTTCTCCAAGGTCATCATATATTCCTAATGCGTGGTGAGTGTGTACCACGCATTCCAGCCGCCTGGGGCACGGCTCAAGTAGTGCATGTGCGCGAACGCCTCCCAGCTAGGCGTCACGTCCTGCATCTCGCAGGCAGCTATGTATCCAATGATGTTCACCCAAGAGTTGGGTGTGAGCTGTCAGACACCAAGGTCATAACCCCGTAGAATGGCTTTAATTGTTTTATGGAGGGGGAACCGGAGGCCGGCTTTGAATGCCGCCTCATAGCAGCCGAAATAATTGTCGGCGTGCTCTAGGTCGTCTTCTCAGACGACGGTTGCGGTTGCGGGCGGGATGCCAACCTCCCGCTGGCCCCTACCGGGCGCTTCTCCAAAAATGTCAAGAGTGTTGCGTTTAGCGTCACAACATCCCGGGCGCTCATGTGCGCCTCCAATGGATTATTTATTGAAGGCCAATTATATGCCTCCTCATTATCTTGAGGGGCATCCGGTGTCATGGTAGACTTAGTAGATCCGGCTTCCTGATCAATTTCGTCACCGCTTGAGCTCCCGGATTCTTCAAGAATCTCATCACCGGGCGTACTCAGGACGCCCGGTTGGTCAAAAGGAACATCTTCAACCGGAGTTCCGGCTGAATCATCTGATTTGTACCAGGGGTCAACAACCGTTTTTTCTTGTCCGAGCCATTCTGTCCTACACATGAACAGAGACGGTCGGATTCGTAGAAGAGTAAGGGTGGTCCACACACCCCCAGACGGCATCCCTAGTCCTAGATTCAGCCGTATCCTATATCCGGTCGACAACTGCCCTAGGTCGTGCCGTGTGTGTATTGGGGGAGTACATTATTCTCTAACAACCTATACAACCAGTAAACTCAAAAGGTTGCAAGGGGGCAAAGGTGATACCTTAAATTTGTGAAGACGTTTGTAGAAGACTTGGCTGAGATTCCAAAATGTGGCTTGAAGAGGCCACAGGCGGAGCAGTCCGGTTGCGTATGAAAATCTTAAGCACAAAGACAAACAGTCAGGCATTTTGGAGAAAAATTACCGAAAGATACCCCAAACGGTATCACAAAAGCTTGCCCAAAGATACCCCAAACGGTATCACAAAAGCTTGCCCAAAGATACCCCAGGCGGTATCAATGAAGATTGCTCAAAAGCCCCCTAGACGGTGATAAGACCGTCTGAGGGTCTTATGAATGCAAATTAAAAAAAAAATAAAAGAAAAGAAAAATTACTCAGAAATGCCCGAGGCGGAATACTTCCGCCTGAGGGCCCATTGAATGGTTTTATTGAAGGCTTCTCCAAGGATATCCCAAACGGTATCCGTGAAGGATTGCTCCAAGACCTCCCAGGCGGCATAAGAACCGGCTGGGGGTCTTACAAATGCAAGACGAGCGAGTTGTGAAGAAATTTGCTTGAGCATACCCCAGACGGTATAAGCCCGGCTGAGGGTATAATGGATGCAAGCTTTGAAGATCATTGGTGAAAAGATACCCCAGACGGTCCATAATCGTCTGTGGGTCTAGCTTTGAAGAACAATTGTTTGAAGATGACCCAGGCAAAATATTTCCGGTTGAGGGTCTATTGAATGCAAAATGTTGCAACTATTGTCTGAAGATGCCCCAGACGGCATGTAGCTGTCTATGGGTCTTTTGAATGCAACTCCTTGAACACAATTGATCAGATATGCCACAGGCGATTTATCACCGTCTGTGGGCCTATGGAATGCATTATTGGAAAGTCCATGGTTTGAAGATACCCCAGACGGTCCAAACCGTCTGTGGGTCTACCAAATGCAAGACATGAATGAAAGGGCTTAGGGTGTCCCAGACGGTATAAGACCGTCTGTGGTTCTACTCATATCAAGAGAAAATCAAGAGTCAGACGATACCCAAACGAGTCGATTGAAGAAACACTCAACCGGTATCCGGATGTGTTGGAAAGAAGAAGCTGGTTGCACAATTAAGCAGCCGGTATCAGAGCTCTCAAGAAATTTTTGCAAAATTTGTAAAGTGAAGAGGAGAGAGGGTGTGTGTCTCTATTTATAGACAAACCCGGAAGGCGAATCGCCACTTTCTGCCTCAAGCATTCGAATTCAAACTTCAAAGAAAAAAGGCGGGAAGCAGACCAACCGTCGCCTCCCCTGTGCTTGACACCTGTCAGAAGTGACATGTGGCTACGCCACGTCACACTTGTGAGGGGCAAATGTTTAGGGTAAAAATACCCTATGCCACGTGGCCCAGTAGCATGATGACACGTGGCAGCCCACCAGAGGCCCAACGGGATCCAATCGAATGCTGACACGTGGCATTGTACCTCCAATGGGGGAGCAGATCCTCATCTGCTATAAATAGAGGAAATTCCTCATTTATTACTCATTGATAAATACATACACCAAACCCGAGCAATATTAATTGCAGAATCTCTTTGAATCAGGGACAAAAAACTCATTTACTTTTCGCCCGTTTACCCATCCGGAATCATACTAACTTGATTGTCGGAGGCGGAACTCCACCCAACCGGAGTTTCGTGGTTTTGCAGGTACAGACGTCAGGCGCACATACTCCGTATTGTAACTCTCCCGAGGAACTCCAAAAACCCTCGAAACAATTACCGTAACCATGGTTTTGATTTTGGCTACTATAACCTTGGTTGTTGTAGTTACCTCGGAAACCTTGGTTTCCTTGGTTCCTATAACCACCACCTTGGTTATAGTTGTCAAAATTGTCTTGGTTGTGATAATTCCTATTCCCTTGGCCTATTTGATTATCAAACCTTGGTCCATTATTGTTATTAGACACATAGTTCACATGCTCATTCTCATTACTATCTAAATCATAACATCCATCCGGAAAAGCATGAGGGCAATTAGAGGCATCATGATCATATGAACCACACACATCACAAGACAAGCATCCACTAGACATGTTATTAGAGGAAGAAAGAGGATTAGAGTTAAAAGATGTACCTCTTCCCTTAAATTTGGAAGGAAGAATAGGCGCTTGCGAAGAGGCACTCTCCAATTTGGCTTTGATCGAAGACATCTCCTTCCCTAGATTTGAGATTTGTGAAGACAAATTGTTGATGGCATTTAGATGATCAACGGAGTACACCGAGGAGCTACTCTTGCTTGTTGGCTCCCTCTCACCATATTGCCAATCCATGTAATGCCTCACTATATCTTCGATGATGTCCACAACTTCTTCCTCCGTTCTATTTATAATGGGGCCTCCGGCGCCCGCATCAAGACAAGTCTTACCTTGAGGGCTCAAGCCCCCATAGAAGATTTGAATTATTTGATAAGTTGAGATCCCATAATGAGGACACTCTCTTTGGTACTCGTTGTACCTCTCCCATGCTTCATAAAGACTCTCATTAGACCTATGCTTGAAGCTTTGAAAAGAGCTCTAGCTTCCGCCGTCTTCTTTTGGGAGTAAAATCGAGATAGGAACTCCTTAATGACCTCATCCCAAGTCCTTAGAGAATTCGGCTTCACCTCCTTATCCAACCATTCTAAAGCCCTCCCTATGAGTGAGAAGGGGAAGAGCTTTAGGCGAATGAACTCTTGATTCACACCGTTGACCTTGATTGTGTTGTAATATTTCTCAAATTCCTTAAGGTGGTTTAGGGGGCTCTCATGTTTAGCTCCACTAAATTGTCTTCTTTCAATCTACGTAATCATGGCCGGTCAAATTTCAAAATCATTGGCCGGTGTGGTAGGTGGTGCAATGCCACTTTCAAACCTATATGATCCGAGTAACCCTAACTCCTTCAAGGCTACTCTTGGATTTTCTCCCATGCTTGCTTGATCAAACTCTTGTTCAACCTCTTGTCTTGATGAATTGGGGCTCAAAGATCTTGAAGCAACAAGTACACTAAAGATTTTCCTTCCGATCTTCGGATCTAAAGGAACAAGTAATCGAGCACGAGAATTATGCATGCAAAAACCTCAATGAAAATATTAGTAACACGGCTACAAGTGTAGCCTAAAGAGGAAAATCTTTTTGTATTTTCAAATAAAGTGAAATAGACTCAACAACTATAGCAAACAACTACGCCATTCCCTGGCAACGGCGCCATTTGATAGAGGATCTAAACACGTCGTTAAATGCTTAAAACCTTATCAACAAAACTTGTAAACACTCGACCAATCCTAAACCAAGTATAGGGGTAAGTCAAGGGTCGAACCACGAGGAATGGGAGAAGGGTTACTATAGCCTAGGGTCAAGCTACTTCGAAAAATGGGGAAATGTTGAATGTGTGACTATAATTTCAAGCAACTAAAACAACATAGAAATTCAATATCAAAAGCACTAGGGATTAGGATCCACATGCAATCAAGATAGAGATGCCAATCAAAGGAAATCAAATCGATTGAAAAGGTGCAAGGACTAGTAGTGTTTCGGGGTTTTTGATGTCCTGCGGGAGAGTTACAATTCCGAGACTGGAACCGGACGCCTGTACCTGCAAAAAAAAACGGATGCTCCGGATGATTGGAGATCCGCCTCCGACGGTCAAGTTAGTACTTGATTAAGGAGTAATTAATGCGGAAATTAAAGTGATTGGGTCTCTCTAGGTGAGAGTGTTTAATGTGTGTAATCTGTGTTTTTTTCCCTTAATGAGGATAAAGGGAGGTATTTATAACCTCGGGAAACGTGCCAATCTAGGTTTAGGTTAACCTTGGGCTGATTGGGCTTCCCTCGGAAGTTGGGCCTAGGTGACCGGCTTCTCCATTAGGCATGGAGTATGCCACGTGTCATGACATAATAAGTCCAGGGTGGACGAATAGGCGTGTGCCACGTGGCAAGCCCTGAGAGGTCCAACTGGGGGACACTTGGCAGGACCTGATTGGCCCACGTGGCGCATTCCGATTGGTGGGAGATAAATCCCCTAATCATTTGCCCCTCACAGGTGGCACGTGACTGGTCACGTGTTACCGATGACAGGTGTCGCCCTGTAACAGGCGACGGCCTGCTACAGGTGTCACTCGGCGAGAGGCCGAGAGATTCTCCTGCCAAAATTTTGAATTCTGGAAGTGACCCTTCGCCTTCTCACTTCGCCTATATAAAGGATTGTTGACTTCGGTCATTTTCACACTTGAAAACTTTGTGAGAGAACATTCGGACCCCTGAACTTGCTTTGACATTTTGGACCCTTTCTGCCTACCGCCTGCTCTGACAAGCCGACTGCAAAGGATTTTCAGAACTTCATCAATCGTCACTCGTTCAGGTAACCGTCGGTTCTCTTACTCTTAATTTTCTCTTTACTTTATTCTTTTTTGAAATGGCACCACGGAAGCACATGACACGACCTAGGTTAGTGATCAGCCGGTCACCGGGGACGGCTGAATCTAGGATTAGGAGTGCCGCCTGCCCTTTTCCGGACCCATCTTTGCCCTTTATACAAAGTCCAACTGTATCTGTGTCTATGCAGAGCATGATGGCCAGAACAAAAAAGACTGCCAGGATCTCAAACTCAGACGGCTCCTCCCATAGGGTGCCAATTAGTGAAACATCTGACCAGGCGCCAGATGTGGAAGTGAAACAAAGCGGCTTGAAAGCCGGCAGTTCTGAGGGAGGAGTCAAAGTGACCCCTTCCCATTTTACAGTTGACAATTCTACATTCTCTCCTGCTCCTTTTATAGGAGAGGAGGCGGGCCCCTCCGGGAGAGAGGAGGAGTCGTCCTCTTCGGACTCGTCAGAGGATGATTCCGAGTCTAGCTCTTCTGGCCATGCTTCTCTGGACACAGAAGAGAAAAACAGTCGCCTACAAGAGGCGAGGCTTTCACACGCAGTTGAGAAGGGGGACGATTGGGCGGAGCCATCCGCCTCTCACCGAGAGCAAAATACCCCCTACTACTGCACCGTACCTCGGGGCCGGATCACGGCCATGCAAGAGAAAGTGGAGAGCTTTATCGCAAACCACACAATGGGCCCCGACTTTTTAGTGTTCGTGCCGGATCCAGAAGACACAGTCGTCTGGCCAGCTGGTACCAGTAATGACGGCACCTGCTTTGGCTGCTACAAGGCGGCCATCAAGGCTGGGCTGCGCTTCCCACTACATCCGGTTGTTCAGCGGATCTTGGATGGGTATGAGTTGGGGTTATGGCAGTTAGCCCCGAACTCCTGGGTCAACGTACTCGGCTATGTGGCCGGGTGCGAACTGCACGGGGTGGAGCCGAACTTCGAGGATTTCGCCCACATGAACTACCTCTGCCGGACCCCTAAGGCAGGCGGTACCGGATGGTATCAATTGACGAGCCACAGGGGCTACCTCATGACGAGAGGTAAAGCAAACAAATGGAAGGACTGGCAGAGCACCTTCCTTATCATTGAGAGTTCAGACACAGAGCTGAACAAGCGCTTCAACAGGTGGAATAGGAATCCGCCCCTTCTTGCAGGCGGCCGCAACATGCCGCGTGTTCCCCCCAAGGCTAAGAAAGAGATCCTAGATAAAGGACTCTTCAAAGTAGAGTCGAAGGTGAACTCTACTTCAGGGGTACGAGAGCAAGTACCCCTGCACTGCGTCCCGAGCTTCAAATGGCTCTACGACGAGTACTTTTTGGCTGCTTGTGGCCTCATCAGTCGGTGCTCAAGAGGTAGCCGGCCTGTTGAATACTCTGTTGTTCCGTGCATTTCTTGTTATGACTTTTATTAACTTTGCTATTTGTTTTTGCAGCGGACGCCATGAGCAAAATTACCGCCTCCAAGACTGCGGCGGCCATGTTGCGGGCCTCCATCATGCAACAGTCTTCAACCGACTCCCCCAACAAGGGGGCACCCTTGGTGGGCTTCGAACCTTTCACCCTCTTTTTGGAGTTGTGTTTATGCATATACTGACTCTTTTCTTCTTTTTTAGACGGGCGCTCCAAGAGCTTCTTCTTCCCAACAGCCGGACCCCAACGCCCGGAGGACGACTGTTGCGAGCTCTCCTGGTTCTGCCAGGAAACATGCAGCGGCTGAGAAACAGCCGGCCACTTCTTCTAAAACTCCAGCTGGGCCACCTAGAAGTATGAAATTTTCCTTGTAAATTTTAGACTTGCTCCCTTCTTTACTAGGTCTAATCCGTTTGTTTATGCTTGATGCATCCGGCCCTCAGGAGCCTGACTTGGTCGAAGTGGCCAAGTCTATGATCAAGGCCGTACCTCCAGCTGAAAGGGAGGCGGTCAGGGGTGTCGGCACCCTTGACCTAGACGGGATTGCAGGGGTCCTTGCTGAGGTATACTTAGCATATTTTTTAGTATTTGAATTCCAGGACGCCTGTTTTCTTTTTTGTTTGGAAACTGACGCCTGTTCCCCTTTTTACTTAGGCCCTGCTCCGAGTGAACGGCCTTCGCAAGCCGCTTGACCGGAAGAACAAAGAGGTAAAGGCTGCAAAAGCTATGGCCGCCTCTGACTGTGATAAGGCAATGTTTCAAATTGCCCAAAATGAAAATCTGACAATTGATTTTCTTTATTATCAGGCGCAGGCTACCGCCACTATCCGGGCTCAGTTAGAGGCGGCCCAGAAGAGGAATAGCAAGCTGGAGGCGACCATCAACAACCTCAAGACCGAGCTGAGACCTCTTCGCCAAAAGATGTCCTCATACGAAACCTTGGAGAAATCCTTGGCGAGCGTAAAGGAACGCCTAGTGACCCAGGAGAAGAGTCTTACTCAGGAGCTCTCGGAAAAGGCCGAGCAAGAAAAGAAAGAGCTGGTCCGGGAGATGATGGAAGACTCTGCTCAAATCCAGCGCATGACTTGGGGCCGCCTCTTCCCCAATGCCGACTTTGCCTCCTGGGAAAAAACGTACCGCCAGTGTTCTGATAGATATAATCAAGAGATCCTGGCGGCTGCTGAGGAAGAGGCGTTGGAGGAGGAGGAGCAGCCGGTAGTGGCGCTTGTGCCGCTTGGGGGTAATGCATCGAAGAAGGATGCAGCTGAATCCGAGTCCAGCAAAAAGAGTGCTGACCAGGCGGCAGCTGCTAATATTGATGATCTTCCCCCTTCATAAGCTTTATGTCTTCTTTCCCCGGCCTGCGTGCCGTTTGTTTGTATTTACCCGGCAAGGGGCCGGGGCTCTGAATATTTTGCCGGTCTTTAATGACTGGCTTCCTTTTAATGAATATTTTTATTTTGCTTTAAATTTGTTCAAGTATTGAATATTCTGATATCCAATTGTACA